GTTTGCGAGTTTACAAGGAAAAGACGACGATTTGTCGGGGACGGTCGCAGCTGTGTGGCAACGCAGCACGTCCCTGGCCTGGCTGCCAGCCGCCCCTGCTAGGGCGGGCGCTGCCGCCCCAGGGCCCCTCTCTGCCCTTCCGTGCTTTGAGCCTGTGTTTGGCATTCGTCTTGTAGTCTTGCGTATACTGCGGGAACCTTCAGGTGTGGCTGGTGTCTTGGTCTCCCCGATGTCACAAAGTGTTTTTCAGATGCTGAGCAGTTCTCCGTTCTGAAGCCTGCGCTCTCTGAAGAGACCCTTGTAGATAGCGAGTGGTGAAAGAGCGATGACAGCGATTAAAAGGGACATTGATAGATGGACACGCAAAACGCACCGGTCAAATAAACACTCTTAACTCCTTTTGTTCTTCTCGTCCCTTAACGCTCTGTGAGCTGTACATAAGCAAGCAGTTCAATAACTAAGAGAATATTTCTCCTAGATGCTGTGAGAGGGGTCACTCCTTGGGCGCATGGTTGGACTATTTTGGCTTTCCAGGTTGCCCCGTGCTGGCTGTGGTGCGTTCGCCCTCAGTGTGGCTGGTCCTAGGCTATGCCGTCCTCCACCTCTTGTCTTCCAACAGCACTCATACTTACCTGACCCAGAGCGGTTTCAGGGAGCTAAAGAGTTAGAAAACTAATCTTGTAACAAAAAATTTAGAGTTTTCTGTGGCTTTAGGTTGAAAATCATCTCACTGCAAGGTCAGATTAGCCCTACTGCTGGGTTATATGGGAGGGAGGCACACAGAGGCTTCGTCCCTTTTGGTGACAGCTATCCAGTAGTTCAGTTTAACAGTTATATCAGATGCAACTCTCAGTCTACTGCAAATTTGACATAAAACAGCTTGAGTTTTCCTCAGTGAGCTTATATATAGGCAGTGCTTGCACCTTGGCAAGAGCTACTTGCAAGGAACTACTTCTGGTAGCTCCTAGGAGCAACCAGAGTTGCTCAATCACATGCGTGGGCCCTGAATCTTCAGACACATTTCAAATCGCCATATTCAAATTTTACTTGGATTGATAGACTTCCTACCAAGTGTTGGAATTAAAGAGGATGATAATTCAGGAATGTTACATGAAAATGGAAAATGGTCCTTGTGAACATGAGGAAAGGAAAAGGAAACACGGAGAAGCCTCTGGAGAGAAACAGACAAGTGACTTTGTTGTGGTGCAGCACGAGCTAGAGGGCAAAAGACACTACACAAAATGAAGATGGCTAAATAGAGAGGAGTGCAGTTATACAAACAATTACCAGTTACAGTGACCTGAGTCATGCTTTATCATATTAGGTGTTTTTATCAAAGACTGATTTCCAAGGATCATACAAATTAGTAAGAATCTCAGCATTCATTTTAACAAGAACACATTTTCTAACCCCTATATTTGAAAAGTGAACTGTAGAGATCTGAGTTAGAAGCTAAATGAGAGAAGGAAACCAACATTCTACCTTATTTTTTAAAAACTAAACTTAGGAGCCCGCAAGTGCTTTTTTTATTTAGCAGTTGTCTGTATGGCAAAAATATATTACAAGGAATTCAGATTTAGATAGTTTTAATGGGAGATCTATTTACAGGAGCAAATGAAGAGAGAAGGTGCTTTCTAAAAGCAGTAGCTAACATGATTTGAAATGTCCTGTAGTGATTAGTATGGAAACAGATGGACATATTTAAAATTGTGGGTGAGGGGGATTATTTTAGAAACTGTCTTACTAGTATGTCAGCTCATATGTCTTTGTTTTGTATAAGTGTTTGCTGCAAATTATGGGATGAATGGGTTTTAGAAACAAAGGATAGATGCGGGTGCCTAAACATCAAGTGTCATTTCATATGCCTTCTTGTCTTCTAGCTGCTGCTAAGGAAGGCTGCAGTCTCCCATAGGACCTGTGTCCTAGGTCCTAGTCTATCTAGGGTTTATAAAATGTCCATAGATTCCTGTGTTTAGGCACTGAGTGATTCCTAAAGTGTGTTTCCTACTTACTGTTCTCTTTGATCCTATGTAGTGATTGTCTGGTCATCAATGTGCTGTGGCTATTCCTTGGCTAGGTAACAAAAGCATTTTAAACAGGAGAACAGTGAATAACCAATTTTGTTGTTTAATATGACTTTTCGTATTAGTGTTTATTTTGTGGACATTAAAAAAATACCATATTCATAATAATTTCACAGCTTCTAGAATGCTACCATATAGTATATGATTTGATCTTATGAACTCTAGCAAACCAAAAGTACCTTTCAGTTAGAAAAAGATACGGTATTTTAACAACTCTGATTAGATACTCTAAGAGAATGGATTGCAAGATAACATGGAGTCTTAGCTGCTAAATGCTCACTGCTGTCCATCAAATTCTGTCAGCACTCTGCAGTTGCTTGTGACTTGGCATGAACACATTGTGGAATTAAAGTTATTTTGCAATATTATACATATTTTTTTCTCTGATTGCTCTGCAGGGTCTCCTTTTGCAAAAGGACAGGAGCATACCCCTGAAAAGCAAATGCAGCTCCCAAATTCTTCACAATCAAAATCCTATCCAGACACCTAAAGAGCTTTGAAGTCCTCCACAAAGAGGGTTAAGAAAGTAAGTTTTTATATAGTATTTCTCAAAACATTTGCTAACTATCAACCAAGTTTGCTTTGAGCAAAACAATAAGTTAAACGTACCTGGCTGATAGAGGGTTTTTGCGTCCTCCAAAATCTTTCTATGTAATGGGGATTCAAATGTGAGCACTTTGAGGAATCTTCTCTGACTGCACAGGGGGCTTGTGGCATAGAGAGGCAGCCCGATGGAGGGGAATCTATCTGCTTAATTTGCAGATGTGCTCCTGAGAACTCAGTCTACTGTGGCTAACTGGCTGTGACCGTTTTTTTTTCCCCCTTTCCTCTCATGTCTTCAGAAGGCATAACAAGAAACCCACCACCAGCTTTAGAAGCTTTAACTCTTTGAGGTAGAGCCAGACCAGGGTGAAAGTAGATACCTGTTACTTAGATTGTAAATGGTTTGCAGCTTGCACTCCTTTTTATTTTAATTCTACTCATTGCTAAACTCAGCAAGCTCGTGAGCTTTTGGGGAATTTTTCAGTGCCACTGTAATATAAAAATAAAACCTAAGGTAATTTTTGAGTTCAAAGAAAAAATAACTCCAATATCTAGTAAAGAAAAATAAAGCTATGCTGTACTGGTTGCTGTATTGCTTTCCCCAGAAATTCTCACTGATAAGTAGATTGTGACTTTGAAACAGAGCAAAGGAAATGACAAATGCATGCAACCCAGTGAGTAAGGGCTGACTAAAAGTCTAATCCAAAGTCCATTGAAGTCATTAGAAATGTTTTTTTTCTACTTCAGTGGCTTTCTGATCAGACCTGAAAAGAATAGTAATACTTTGCACCTTTCTGTGGCATTTTTCATCAGTTTCACAGAGCTCTTTTCCAACAAAAAATAATTAGACTCTTAAGTCCTCTGGGAACATATCCTTTCAACAGCTAGCAGTGCAGGGCACAGAGGATAATTCACTTGCATAACATAGCATAGCAAATCAATGGAAGAAGCTGGAAAACAACTTGCTCTTCATAGCTCCCTGGTTTTGGTGTCCTGGCCTTACTTCACCTACCCCTGAATTACAACATCTGCTACATAGTATTTTAGGAAGATCTCATCTCCCATTTGAAACAGCAGTGAGAATATAAATAGGAAGATCTTGAAATGGAATTTGATTGTAAAGGAAAGTAAACATACCGAATGTTTGTGAAAATTGTCTTGAGACCTTTAAAAACGGTAATGTAGATTGGATGTGGTGATGTGTCTCATCTGAAATACAATAGCTCCAAGGCACTGTGTCCTGTAACGTTCATATGGGCCTATTACTTTATTACTGATACAAGGATAAAAGTAGACTCTATTGCAGGGTTCAGAGCTAAAGAACTTAACTTCCACCAATTTTAAGGGTGTTCACATCAGGTTTATTTCTATTTCTGGTAGTCCCTAAATGATATTTGACAGCTTCCTATCCAAGTGCTTGACATAGCCTGATCCTTGTTAGAGTGTATGATCAAAGGATCTACTGGCAGAAGACACAGAAACGTTTAAAAGAAAAATTTCTCCCCCCTTGTGTCTCATTTAGTATTTTATATTTGTTTTATTCTTCCTCTGCCAGTTGACATGTCTTATCTTTCGAAATTCTTTTTCCAATTACTTTGGATGAGAGGACAGAGAAATTAAAGTTCGTTGGCAACAGCATGTCAGTTTTGGATAAGGAAACGCTTTGTCCAAGCTGGTCTTCTCTAACTGTCAGTGACAAAGTGCTTTGGAGGAGCTGCAGCAAGTAGCTTTGGAATAACGTAGCTACAAGGCAGAAAAATCATGTTCAGAACTGTCCAGTTTATAGCAATAACAACTAGGATTTGCATCCTGAATTTATTTGGCAGCGAACCCATGCAAAAACGTATAAATAGACTTCTACTTTACACATTCTATTTTAATAACATTGACATAGGTAGTCTGTTTCCAACAGATTGCTCACTGTCATGGAAATGCTTTGTTTCACTCGATTTTCTTCTACAGTTAATTACTAAAAATAATATGTGGTTTACATCTTCTTCATTCCAAATCATGACAAATTGCATTCAGATATTTCCAGGCTTTTCAGCATATTTTCTGCCAGTAAAGCACGGTCATCTCTGAGATGGAACTTAGCTGGCTCACAGCGGATTGTAGTAATGCAGTCCAGTTAGGCAGAGAAAGGGAAGGCCATCTTATTTGTTTGCGTAAGTTTAGCCAGCCAGAACGCAAATGCTCGGCTGGCAATTTAGCCAAGACCCATGGGCTGAAACCTGTGAAGGAATGGCGCAGGGAGTCTGGTGTCCTAGAGTCTTCAATTTTCTGTCTCATCTAAAAACATCAGAATACAGTATTTAACATGTGAGTGACTGGTTTTATTTGGAGGCCTCATCTAAAATGGCTGATGAAATCCAGCTGTGCTTTGACTGTAAAATCCAGGAAGATCACACTCCAGGGGACAGTGGCTACTGTGTTTCAGAACAGTGTTTGGTGCACAGGAAATGTCACCCTTGTCATAGGCCTCCAGGTGGTCTTTAAAGTGAGCAGTACTCTTGAAGCAATTGGAAATTCACAAAAAACAACTGTCGGATCATGCACAGGTCTGAGATAATAGCACTGAAATCAAATAGGATCAATGTGCTTGCTTGCAATTAAAGCTCTTCGATATCTCCCTTAAAAGCCCATGCTAGTTGGGCATGAAAGGCACAAATTTTTGACCATCACAAAGGTCAGCTTTGAGGCTCAGTAATGCACTTATATAAGCAGATGCAGCTCCTATTCAAGCAAATTGCTGATGCATTAAGTGTGTGCCCTTAAGACCTGCTCCCGCTGAAGGCAGTGGCAAACATCCAGTTGATTTAAACAGGATTAGAATTAGGCCTTTAGCTGTTGCAGATCACATTGAATTAAGGGATGCTGCAAGAAAAAGCTGCTTGAAAGTTTTTGTCCTTTGTAATTGAAACATCTTTATTTTACTTTGTTCCCTTGGTTAAGTTGACCTGCACCTGCTCATAACCAGAGCTTTCTACTGCAAGGTTAGCTCTAGGAGCTGATGTCAAGTTGCAGGTGGTGGGTAGGGGGGAAGAAAAGGGAGAGAAGTAGGGCAGGATTGTAGAGCAGGGGGCCTTTGCTTTTGCAGCTGTAGCTTTGCAGGTGTCAGGGCAACAAGTCGGAGTGATGCCAGGAAAGAGAGCTACCTGCCTGCTAGAAGGTGCCACTTTCTGTGCTGTCCCATAGGGGATGTTTACTCCTTGCTCAAGGCAGTCAGGAACTCCCTGGCTCGCTCCTTTTACTCGGTCCATTTCCAAAGTGCCATCCTGGGATGTTTGTTAAGATACGCAATCACAGTCCGTACTCGAATAAAAACTTTTACTAAACACAGGCTTCCACTTAGTTTGAGTTCCAGCTTTGTATACCTCTTTTCTCCATGGTGGCTGAAGAGCTGCACGGTAGCAGCTGTAGCGATAGCGCAGGTACGTGTGCCCTGGTAACAGCTGCTTTTGCTAATGTGGAGGAAGCACGGCTTTCTGGGCCATTTATGAGCAGTGCGTCTGATGAAGATCTGCTTTCACAGTTGCATAAGCAGATATGACCTGCTGCCAAAAAGAGCAATCCTGCATCTTTCCCTTGCTACCACTGTGTGCTCCCACTGTCCCCTTGTGCAGGCACTTGTGATCTTGTGGCTATACAGCAGATCAGAAAACACATGTATTTAAAACAGGACATACATATTTGCTCAGTTTAGTTTCACTTTTCAGATGGGTTGTTATTTTGTCTGGCGCAAGGGAGGGGAGTTAGTTGCCAGGGGATGGAGAGGGAAAGAGAGTTGTGCTGCCTTTTTCAGGAGCAGCCGGCACTTAGATAGGCTTAAAAGGATTCTGACTCCACAAACTTCTGATGTAAGCTTACTCCTTTAACACAAAAGTATGGTGCTACTTCATTTTTGTTGTTGTTGTAATATTGTAGAAAATACTCCTCTAGAGTTTCCTTGACTCTTTAATATGTTAAACATTAGTAAGACAACCAGGGATAGAAGTCAGATACTTTTCCTCCAGAAACACTAATCCCTGCTCTTCAACTGAGTTTACATTAGTTGATAACAATGTAGGACCTAAGACACTCACTTGTACTGCTGCATTTGTGTATTAAACCAGCCTCCTTGAGCAAGTTATAGACAAATACATGGGTGTATATATTACTGTCAAATGATAAACGGGATGATCTTTTTTGTACTGCTCTCTGGTGGGCAGATTGGGATGCTATTTGTATGAGAGCTGTTACGTAGCTCTTGGACAGGGCTGGGGAGGCAACTGTAACGTCCTGAATCACAGTCTGCTTTCTCATCATCCTTGGAGGGGGATGGTTCTGTACTGCCCCCTTGAGAACTTACTGCGTACTTAAGACTTGCCTATACCCATGCTGTATTGCCTAACTACACAAGTGGTCAACCTGCAGAGGTCATTTCTGCATTGCCTTTACCCAGCCTCCGCATCACTGGCCATAGCTTGCTTTCTTTTATGCTGCTGAACTAGCCAGGCCAAAAGACCCCTACAATCAAGGTATTTCTGGTTCAGATCCAAGGGTAAAAACTTTATGGATGAGAGGTGTTAAAGAAATGTTTGTTGCTAGTTCGATATTGTGGGTTGTAAGAGTAGGGCTGCTTTTATGAGGTATTAGTTAGATCTGAGGTATTAAAGACTCACTTGAAAAAAGTGGTTGTGACAGGTATAGTTGCTGTAAACAGGAAGCCGATGTTCCGCCACATTTTTCATTGCTTAATAGAATTAATAACTATGTAATTGAAATCATGCTAATACTCAGTTGACTTGCCTCTGTGATTCAGTGCAGAGATTTCTGGTTTGGCTTAAACTGCTGGGAAGATGGCTGCATTTTGGGCAATAAAATTGATTTTGCACAATCTGCTGATGATCAGCAAAGCTTAATGAATAATCACCTCAGGAAACCTCATTACAGTAATTTGGATGGATGAGCAGGATGTAAACGCAAAAAGAAGAAAGTATAGTTGCTCCTTGAACGCTTCCTTTACTCGTATTTGACTCTAAAACTTCAGAGCCAACACAGGGAAAGTATCAGGTATCCCTGCCTTACTTTCCTTGAAACCTCTGAGTTACTTTGATGCCTCTTGGGAGAAAGAAGGTAAATTCTTGATTTCAGCGGTAGTTACTCCCTCGCAGGACAACACAGACATTTCGTTGTGAGAGGTATGGCTGTGTGCAGTTCATAGCTTATGGGTGATTCTAATCCATTCTTGTAAATTAAAAGAACATGGATTGTTTTCTTTTTTATGAAAGTTCAAAGAAGTCATTGCCTTGATACTGTGAACTAGATGATTGCTGTAGCCTTTTATTTTTGCGGAGCTCCCTAGCAAAGGTGAGAGTCTTCTGTTTAGCCTGGTTTCAGTTGTTCATGTCACAAACCTTCTCTGCAGCTCATACAGTATGATGTTCGTTTAAGAGAGACTCAGGAATACAGTAGATGGGAAATAGCAGAAAATCAAGTTGGAATGAAAATGAAAAATGCAAAAACCTTGATAGGCTGAGACAAGTTTCTGAACGCATCTCTAGTACCATCCAGCCTAACCGTATGTTCAGTTTCAGGAATAGTGGATATTCTCCAAATACCAACCTCTGTGCTTGCTGTCATCTAGACTGACAAAATAGCACCCTACGGTTTTTCAAAGTAATTGAAAATAGCTGGGACAGATAGTTCTAGCTCTCCATCTCGCCTTTCCATTGAATGAGTAAATGGGTCTTTTTTTGATAGAACCTAACCTTTTATTAGGATGTAGTTGGTTCTTCCTATCCATGGTCTCCTGATTTCTGCAGCGGTAAATTAGAGCTTTATGGCAGTGCAAGAGAAGGTTAGATCTGTGCTGGACTACCACCTCTTCAGTCGCAACAGTGATGAAATGAGCAGATGGATGCCAATAGGACAGTTAGGGTTTCCTCCCGTTTTCCAATTTAGGATATGTCAGAGCATGAATAATTAAGTGAACTCATGTCTGGCAATGTGTTCTTTGTGTTTTTCACAACAAAAAAATAAGGAAATGTGGCCTATAGATTATATGTTATTTTATATCCTTAACCAAGATAAACGCCTTGACATAGTAGTTGATAGCAGATCTCATATACTAGTGCTAGCCTGCAGTAACTATATTGACTATAGGGGAGCTACTCGAGATATAGGGCTTTGACTTGGATAAAAATTTGGTCCATTCCTTGGCAAAAAAGCTGCCAGTCTTGAGAAAGTGATTTTTTCCCATGCTTGGAAATCCAGGGAATTTTCTCAACTATTTTTTAAAAAAGCAGCACTGTTTTGGTGAAGTTTCTCTCAACGCATACATATTGAAGTGCATGCCAGAGGGAAATACGTAGGTTCTGTGAAATATATTAGTGTACAACCTTTAGGGATAACTTCCTCTTTAAAGTACATCATGAGATTTCAAATATTAAATATTAGATTATATTCTAAGGGCATCTGGTACTGCTTTTAAGCTGACGTTCAGAATTTTACAGAAGTAGTTTGGCTACATTTTGTCAAGTTGAATTCAGCGCTGCACTTCCTAGCTAACCATAATGAGTCAAAACATGGGTTTTATCCAAACTCTTGTTGTACTATTCCTCCCCTACTGCTTAACCAGAAGAGGATGTTAAAACCTGAAGTGAAGTTTCCCAAATTCTGTAGAGAGTAGAGGATGGACAGCCAAGTCAAAATTCAGCTGTAGCATTTTGCTAAAACCTTGATCTGGATGTTTAATCTCAAATTGATGTTCAGGTGGCTGTAAAACACAGCATTCACTGAGAAAGCTGGTGTTGTGTTTGGTTAATGATGCAAATATTCCCCCAAACTGCTTATCAGTTTCCTAGATTACTAGAACATTTTAGAGCAGAGGAATCTAAGCAGTAGTGCCAACCTTCCTCTGATTTGTTAAGTCATTTAAACTCTCTGTGACTCAGTTTTCTCATTTATAATTGAGAATAATATTTTTTGCTCTTCTTCACAGGACTGTTGTGGTGTTTATTTCACTAGTGTTTATAAAAAACTTGGACGTCCTACATGCCAGGTGCCAAAGAAAAAACAAAAGGTTATTATTACCATTATTCTTTGTTAAATATATGTATATTTATTATTTCTTTGACAGTGGCTTTACAAATCACCACAGTCATTCATATAATGAAATTTACCTCAAACAATGACTGTAATAACTGAGCAATAATGAGGAACAGAAGGGCATTGTTTCCCTCTGAAACCACCATAATTTGCATAAACCACTCTGAGTGTCTGGTAAATGATATTTTGCTTGGTGAGTCCACAGAGAGATTAATACTGGCTTATTTTTGGTAAAACATTAAAAAAATTTTTAAACATTAGGTCATGTGTGTGTGCATGTGTTTTTATATCTCCAGAACATTAGCCTTCTTTATGAGCAGGCAATCCAACAAAATTAGTGTTTGACATTAGAAATCATGCTTTCTTCTCCTGCTAGGCTCTGAACATTTCTTGTTCGATCTTACTTAACTTCTTAAATAAGGTTGACATCCCGCCCTTAGTGTAGTTGATTTGAAGTTTTGCTGAAGAATTAAGCTTTCATTCCCAAAAGACACTTTTTAGTGCTATGGTAAATCAAGGCAAGAAACATGGGGCCACATGAAAAGCAACTAAGTGTATAATGTACTCTTGCACCTTTATCACAATTAATGTGTGCAAACTGATCGTTTACCTATTTTTAGTTAATCTACCACTGTGTGAGAGACTCTTGTGTTTTAATAATCTGCCAGTTACGTGTGTCCATGCCCTGGCTGGGGTTTTCTACTTCCAGTAGCCTGGTCCTACATATATCAAAAATCAGTAGTATTATTAAGTATTTAACAGTGCTAACAACAGCCTTTACACAGCTTTTACAAGCGTTGGGCAATGTTAACTTCAGCATACTTCACTGACAGCTGTTTCAGGGCCATTACTTCCCTTATAGTCTGCTGAAGTAATTAAGATCAACTGGAAAGCTGCTGCTGACTGACTTAAAAGTGGAGCTCTCAAGTGAAGAAAAGCATCCACGGTGTTCCTTCAGCTCCCAGTATTTATTCCCTTCGCAAGATGGGATCCAGCCCTTCCTCTGTGACTGCCTCATTCCGTCCTACCCTCTATCCCATGTACAGGTGTCCCAGTCATAAAATCAAACATGTTGGTGAGTGGTCTCACTGTTTCGGCAAAGAAGGCAGGGGTTTGACAGGCTGTAAAACTGGACAACTTAAAATGAGGGAGAGGGAACACTGCTGAGAGAGGCTGGCACTTCTGTGGGCCACATACTACCCGAGAACATAAATTTAAGTCAAACGTGCTGCCAGTCTCTCCCTTTACATTTAAAATAACTATGTTCCCTTGTATCTGGGGGGAATTGTTGTGTAAGCTCCCAATGAGAGTGATCAGGCCTTCACAAGGAGAGAAGAAAAATCTGCACATTCTGATGCTCATCTGTGTGAGCTAGGCGCTCTTCAGTTGCTTTGTTTTCTGCCTACAGAAATATATGTCTCTTTTGTTGCAGAAGAAGCCTGGTAAAGCAGATACACCTGTTTGACTATCAAGGTTGTGGATCATGGAAGAACAACTACTAAACAACAGCATCCTTGATCAATTTATTAATAGCCATGAGCAGTCGTATGAAGAGTTTCTAAATACGTTCACTTTCCTTTTGAAAGGTATGTAACTTCCAGAATATACCATTAGAAATTGCAGAAAGAGGGGAAAGTAAAAAAAGGAGTAATGCTATTTAGTGCCATTCTGCTGCTCACTTGCTCTGTGACCTTAGGCAAATCCTTCTCACGTCTTTGCTTTTCCTATCAGCAGTGGAATCCCTAACAAGAATTTTCCTTAATTTGCTTAACGGACTGCTAAGGTATGGCTCTAGAGCTGGTTAGCATAGCAGATTATGAATCCTTGTGATCCACATTTTGCTCGGTTTAGGAGAGTGGAGCACTGTGGTCTATCTGGAAGGATAAGTTGGGCTCTCCCTAACTAAATCTCACAGCATTCTTCTAAGGAA